CGTGGCGGGAGCGGATGCGGTGTGTCGCTGCGCCCGCTCCCGGGGCTGCGCGGGGCTGCGGGGCTGGCGTGTGTCCCGGGTCCGGAGCGAGTGCGGGGGTCGTGGGGCGCGGGCTGCACGTCCTTGTCCCTGTGATGCTCGCGCTTGGGGGTCCGCGAACTGCAGCCGGGGGCGTCTGCGGCTCTTACTTGTCCGCAGGGGGTGTGTGTCCCTGGTCTGCGGGGTGGGGATTGAGTGTGTGCGCGCGCGTGCGGGGGACGGGGAGGGGGCTTCTGCGGGCGTACGTGTCCGCAGTGCGTGCCTCGGTCGCGGCGTAGCATCGCTGGGCCGTGGCTGCGGTGTTGGCGGCTTGCGCGCGGCGGGCTCTGCCTTGCCCGCGCGTGTCTCGGGGTTGAGAGAGTGTGTGAAAGAGGAGGGCTGTGGGAGTGTGCATCTGCACCTCCATTTGTGTCGAGACTGTGTGTAATTGTGTTTATGGGATTGAGCTGATATTTGGCCTTGGTTTTGGGGGAGTGTCCTTGCCCATGGTCGGGGGACAGAGCAGGAAATTTCGGATTGACTGGGGTTAGTGGTGGTAAAACACTCAACTTTGCCCAGTAGGTGTGGTCCCTGGGGCTGTTGTGTGTGTGAGGGAGTGTTACTCCCCAAACCCATGGCCCGGAGTGGGCTGTGGGAGGAGGCAGGAAACCAGTTGCTTTCGTGGACGTATCCAACACTCGTTCTCGGGATGGGACGCGTGTCACTCCTGCCCCACCCCCCCAGGGACAGACCAGGAAAGCGTGTACGAGGTCCGCAAGGCCTCCTCCAAACCCCCTCCACACCTCAGTGCGGGGTGGGGAGAAAAGTCAGAGTTGTCCACACTGGAGAAAGGGTTGGGAATGGGGAGACGGAGTCCCGAGTCTCTATGCTTAGGGCTCCTTCTTGCGCCCCCAACCCTCAAGCTTTCTGTCTTGTGTGCGTTTGGAGGTGGCCCATGGGAAAGGTAAGTGGGCTGAGGAGGGGATGGGCTGCCCGCTTTGTTCGCCCAGTTCGTGCCGTCTCTGCGGAGAGGAGAGCTGAGGATGTGTCCGGGGCGAGTCGGGGAGGGACTTGGAGGTGGGGGTGGGGAGGGGGATTTCTCTCCAGCTGCTGCGGCTTTCCAGAGAGACTCAGCCAGGCCACGTGGGAGGGAGCAGGGATGGCGGGAGGGGGGGCGGGGGGGAGGAGCCTTCGCCTGCCAGCCCCAAGCCCATCTCCAGAAAAACCCAAACAGCGGGTGGGAAAGTGCGGGGAACTGTTAGGACCCCTTCTCTTTCTACAGAGACACGCCCCTTTGTAGCCTGACTGCGGACCTGGCAGGAGGCCACCTGGGGGCAGGGTCTAGGCGGCTCGCCCAGGGGTATGCGGGGGCCCAAGGTTGTCAGGTGAAGAGGGTGGGGATGTGCCTGATAGGCGCCTGTCCTCTGTAGCCCAGGGGATTTGGGAATAGTTGTGCCCACCATCTTCCGCTTTTCCAAAAACTCCAGGAACAGGCTCAGGGTCACCCAACAAAGCGGGAACAGGGTTGGGAAGTGCACTGGAGTATTATGAATACTGGTGGGGCCTCCCGCAAGGGGCTCAGTTTGCCTGGGAGACCTGGCCTCTGTCTGCTCTGGAGTGCACAAAGCAGGCGCAGAGGCAGCTGGGGCTCCCTTGGAGGCAGTGTGCTTGGCTAAAGCAACTACTCTACGGGCCCTCAGTCCCAAACCCTTTGCTGTGCAAAGCTCAGCAGGCCTAGGAACACTCTTATAGAGCTCTGACTAGCCACCTTGATCTGACCGAGGCCTTTCATTCATTCGTTCATTCATTCATTCATTCAACAAATATTTATTGAGTGCCCCCCCCACCTGCCCCCCATTTTTGGCTAGCACGTCCCTGGTGCCTGGAATATAGTAAATAAGGAGGCAGACCTGGTTGCTAGTGCAAAGCTTCCAGTCTGGTAGGGGAAGACTGACAGCTACTCTGGAAAGGTCAAGGCAAGCCTTCCTTCAGGAAATGATGAATAACAGAGCTCAGTGCAGAGCCCAAGTTCTCCCTGTAGAAAGATAGTGATGAGGGGGAAAGTTTTCCAGAGAGAACAGCGTGTGCAAACACTCAGAGGTAACTTAGTTTAGACCATTGAATAAAGCCAAATTTGACTGGAGTTTAGAGCACAAGGAGAGTGGGGCAGGTTGGAGAGGGATGGGACAGGGGCCATGGAATGTCAAGGAAGAAGGGGGGTTGGGCAGGGACCCAGCTCATGAAGGTTTCTGAGGCCCCTTGAGCCCTTGGTGGGTTTTCAGATCAGCTTTGCATCAGCTCACTCCAGCCAGTGTGGAGAATCAGTTGGGCAGGGCTGAGGCAGGAAGCTCCAGCTTCTTGGGAGGCTGTTGTATCCAAAAGAGAGGATGGTGGCAACTAGAATAGTGGCATTTGGGGTGGCCAGAGGAGCTGGATTCTAGAGATATTTAGGAAGTAGGATGAGTAGGACTTGAGGATAGATTGAGTTTGTAAGGGGCGAGGGAGAGGGAAGTCACACAAAATCGTAGACACTTCAGCAACCTCAACATGGCAGGACGAAGGGCTGGTGTTGGGGACAGGACAGCGACCGCCTCTCATCCTCCAACACTTCTCTTGAGTCAGGGATTGGGAACTGGGGAGACATTTGAGAGGAATGGGACTCTTGTCTGGGATACTGGAATGTTGAGTGGGCAGTTTTCACAGCATTCAAGAAGTGGGGCTCTCCCCTCCACCCAATCAGAACTTGGGGGGTGGGGAAGCCAGAGGTCAGAAATAGGAGACTTTTAAGAACATGAAAACGGCTTTCTCCTCACCCCAAAACTGACCCCTCCCATCCCTTTCTTAGCCTGAAGGCTCAGAGGCCAACCTCAGGCAGTTAGGGCGTTGGGGTGGTCCTTTCAGACCCAGGTCAAACATAGTTTCTCTTAATAGTGAATCTTATCCAGAAGTTATCTGAACCTTCAGTGATTCTGAATGTACTTTCATGGCCCAGTTAATCACACATTATATATAGATTAGCATTTCCTTTTCTCCTGAAGCTACGGACCTCTTTCAAGTTAAGCAATCTCACAATTAGAGCATCATCGAATGTCAGAACTAAAGGGAACTTAGAAATAATTTTAGCATGAACCCATTTTGCAGGTGAGAAAACTGAGCAACTTCATAGTTACATGGATAAGGACTGAGTTGGGGCTGGAACCAGTCTCCTGGCTCTTGGAGCAGACACTTCCCCAGGATTTGTACCCAAGTTCAGTCGCTCTGCACCCCCTCTGCTTCACATGAGAAGTTATCAACTTCAGGCTTGGCCTCCCCTCAGTTAGTGCCTCTGGTCTCTGGAATCCACCCTACTCTACCCATCCCTATCCACTACCTCCTGTTCAGCCTCCAGTGTTTCTGAGGTACAGCAACCAGACTTGACACTGAATTCCAGATGCAGAACAGATGTCATTGCCAGGCCTGCCTGGGGGCTCCCAGCTCCCTGGGATGGGGGAGAGAGGAGTAAGAGCAGCTCTAATAGGCGAGGACCCCAGCCCCAGCCTGGTCAGAGGTGAGTGATGGGAGCTGCAGGGGGAGGAAAACCAGAGACAGGATGATCTGGGCCTGACAGAGAGAGAAATGGAATCTGTCTTCTGGGCTGCTGGGCTGCCAGCTACTACTGCCTCACTGCTGAGGCTGAGGCTGAGGCTGAGGCTGAGGCATCCTTTGGATTTGAGGGGCTGTGGGGTCATTGGGGTCAGGGAAGCAGAGGCTCATCAAGCCCTCTCTCAGGTGGAAGCTGGTACAGAGCCAAGATTTCTGGATGGTTAGATAAGGGACTCGTTACCTTGTTACATAGTTTGGAGGACAGAGCTCTGGCAAGTGAGTGGAGCATAGAGGGAGACAAAGGTGGGCACAGAAGGATGATATTGTTAATCATACTAGCCATACAGTAGAACAGTGAGGTAGTGACTGTTACTGTTTAGTCCTGGTAGTCCCAATAGTAGTCCTGCTAATGTTTAAGTACAGAGTTTCAGTGTGAGTTTGCTGTTCTGTCTCTGTGCTTTTTAAGCACTTTGTTAGGTGCCTACTAGATGCTACATTGTATGCTAGACAGGTTCCACTATTATTCACATCGTCCCCAACCCTGAAAGGAGTTCCTATAATTTTTTACAGATAAGGAAATTGAGGCTTGGAAAAGCATGAGGGGCTCTGTGTTGTATCATTTTGAGTGTATTTCCGCTCATCTGTTGTGCATGCGTCTGTTCAATTTATTGAGCACCTACTATGTGACAGGCACTGTTTTAAGTATTAGGGATTTAGAAAGCTGACTAGGACATAATTCTAGACTTGGTGCCTAGAAGGGGAGAAAAGCAAATAAAAAATCTAGAATGATAACTGCAGTGACCTAGGTGCCCAGGGTCCTATAGGGTAGAAAAAGGAGAGACATCTAAATCAGACCCCGGATGGCACAGCTATTGATGGGAGAGGGAGCAGCATGAGCAATGCATGGAACAACAATGTGCTTTCAGAAAACGAAGTGGTTTGACCTGGTGGA